CTAACGTGGACGCCGACATGTTGCTTGTCACTAACTAGGCCTACCAGCGATAACCAATTGTATGTACCCGGCATTCGAGCGGCCAATCCAAGAACGACAAATCAAGCTGTTAGTGAACATACGAGAACATGCCGCCCAAACTCTGCCTTAGAGTAGGAGATAAATATCATTGAAAGAAAATTTCTTGGAGGAATGATTAATCAGTGACAACCCAGGACATGACAAACTATACCTACTCCACTTTTTGCATTTTACGTTTTGGTTTCCCCTTTTTCCCGGTACTTTGCTTCAAGTGGTGGCCCGCTGCCGCATTCCCTCTGCTGATGTGGTAAGCATTGGTCACCGCGATGTTTTCCACCTCCGTGGTCAGCTGCATGATGTAGAAGATGACCAGGAAGACGAGGAAATGTGCACAGGAATACACCGAGACCAGCACGGCATAGAGATCAGGATACCTAGCTGGGGGCTCCAATATCACACTGGTGATGCTGAGGGCCATGGCTCCTAGCAAGGAGCAAGCAACCTGTGGAGGGAACAATGTTAAGTACACTTGGGCATTACGTCAGCAGCATATAGCCAGTGGCGTATCCAAGTCTGGGGTGGGAATGGAATTTGTTTCTGAAAACAACTGATTTTTTTCCTCATTGAAAGAAACCTCAACCCCTGTACCTAAAAATGACAGCACCATTTCTAAAATGCTGGCTCTTGTGATTGACCCAGCCTGTGCATTGAACTGGTAGTTGCTTCAATTTGGGGGTTCCCATTTCAGAGAAATAAAGAAAAGTTCTGAAGAGTGTCTTACCAGAACTTTGAATTTGACAGACTTTTCCCTGAATGACATCCTTGCCACAACCAGGAACATGAGGCAGAGGGCAAGGTAAGGCAAGAAGAGCTGATCCTTGATGAGAAGTGGTAGCATGCTGAGAGACATGCAAGCAGGTGAAAAACAAGCCTCAGTTCAAGGATACGTTAACATTTGGAAGAAACCAGAAGCCTTAGCAGAACCAGCAAAATGAGTCAGGTTAGTGTTTGAACAAAATGCAAGCTGCGACCTTGGACGTGCTTCATTTTGGGCATGTGCCGTTGGTATCTGCCTAGAGCAGAAGCACTCCCTCTTCAGTTGAAAAGAGCCATGTTGGTTGGGAGTGTTCATGTTGTTGGCATTAATGCGACCGCAACACTGCCATTTCGTAGTCATTTGTGAACCAGCGACGTGCAGTTCTGACCAACGGAACCTCTTTTTCCTAGGAATATTGCACCCTCTTTTGGTCCAGCTCAGGACTCATACCGATCTGGCTCAACAAAAATCTCGAGTCGTCTAACTTCGCCTGAAACATTACAGTGGCATCGTTCACAGTGATACATTTTACTAGGTCTTAGCAGTCATACTTACCTAAATGTGGATATAAGAAGAAACCAAGAACAGAGCAGTGGGTGAACATCAAGAAGGCAACAAACAGGCCTAGAATTGGGGGAGAGAAAGGAGATGAGAAAGGGCAAATGCAGAGACCAATTGAAATCACCTATGAGTTAACTATGAATTCAGTCTGGTATCCTGATTTTGTCACACTCTCATTTGAAATGGAATTCCCCAGACTATGAAGGCACCAATGCTGTATGAGGCCACATCCAAATTACCAGGCTGCAGCTGACATGAACATACTCATATATGGGAAACGACTGCCACTGTAAAACCACAGGCTTACACATGGCCACATTCTCTTTAAAGCCAAGTGGTTCGAGCATGGCCTCGCATGATGCCAGGCAAGTTTGACAAGTAGTTCATCTCTGCTAAGCAAACATTTTCTACTCCAAAATATATTTCTTTGAGTAGTGGCTCCTTGAAATTGGAATCTGTATATTTCTTGTCAAAATCAAAGCCTCTCCTGCCTGAACAATCTTTGGACGCAACAAAACAAGAATACAGTGGAGAAATACTAGCTTTGCACTTTCGTACTGAAACCCCTTAGACCAGGGCCAAAGAGCAGATATGGGGCGGGGGGGGAACGAGGGCAATGGACCCCCAAAACGGACCAAATGATTCGGGGGAGGGGGGGGATAATGAAAGGCCACTTTGGGGGTCTATTTCCAAAAGTGTGTAAAAAGCACCAAATTGTAGCCTAAGCCCTCAGAGGTCATACAATGATAAAAATGTTCCCAAAATTGGCACCCGAAGAATTTGGCCTCCCCCCTGAAATTTTGGTTCTTCAATTTATTTGCTGAGCAAAATCTTCCGGAGAACCAGTTAAAAGCCATATACTTCATTTGAAACTCTGGTTGCGGTCACCTGTATATGCTAATAAAATATTCTGTGAGATTGAAGCAAATTCTGAGATGAGCAGTGCAGTTGTTGAAAGGGGAGGGGGAGGTTAACTTGTAAACAAAAGCCACTGAACACTTACAAAGCTACAAGAAGGATGCTCTTCTCATGAACTTGATAGGAAAACAAGAAGAATACTAAAGAACTATTTATCTGTAAGAAGACAAAAGAAACAGTACCTTTAGGAAAGTACCACATCACTTTTGTAATTTTTTTTCTTATAAAGATGACAATAGTCTAAATCAAGAATTGAAAACTAGTTTTGAGTTTTTGGAAGAGAAATATGTTTCTTGCAAAATTAAAAACCAAAAAGAAGTAATTATTTGACAGAACAAACAGAAACTAGGAAAATGAACAAAGAAATGACCAGGACAGCATGTAGAAACTTCTACTCACCAAGGAGTAGTGAAATTTTAATATACTGCTTGCTGATCTAACGCTGGCTCTCAACAGATCAGCACACAGGGGTAGTAAGCATACCCCAGTCGTCGCTAGGCAGAGTTTGACCAATGCATCTTGGGATAGGATATTCTTGATTTTGATGATGACACTGATGCTGCACCAGAAGTTGGAGACTTTGTCCTGGGGCAAAATATTAGGGAAGAAACAGGATTACTTTTGGTGCGATCTGAGTCCAATAACATGGTCTTCAATGAATAATAATGGATAGCCTTATCTAATTCACTATGCATGTGGCTCAGATTTTCTCTTCAAAGTGTATTGATATGCCGGTTCTGAGAGGCACCAGCTTTTGAATGCGACTTGCTAAACTGACTAAGGCCATGAATTACAAAGTTAAAGAATTAAACACGAGCTGAAAATTTATCAGCTACTACAAAAATACCTGTTCTTCATTATCTTGTGACATAATTATAATATCACATTATAAGTTGAGCCATATCAATTACTTCTTTGAAACAAGTTTAGAATTAGGAGCACAACGAAGCAAATAATTTTCTGTCATTGACAGTGCAATATCTCACCAGCATCGGCACCAAAATACTTGCATCCACAACATGCCTCGTCAACAAAATATGACACCCAAAAGCTAAAATTTTTGGAAATAACGACTTACCTCGAACAGCCCTCTGTCAAAGGGGAAGAGCCTACGCAACACCTGAACAAAGACGTCCATGTCTGATAAAAACGGAAGCCAACACAGAACGAAGGTAGCAACGACAACAACACCAATCTGGACTAGCTTCCAGAAACGGTACAGTAACGGCAGTCTGGTCTCCCTGCAAAACAGAAACAATAAACGTGATCGTTCATGATGGCTGTGCATCTCTACTGTTAGATCCCTGTTCGTACACACAGCACTCTGGCAAAAGAAGTGAACGATTCTGTAAATGTGAACACCTTTGTTCCAGTGAAGACATTCTAAGGCTCGGGCAATGTTGGGCACAACAGCTCTAATACTCTGACAATAAGTTGCAGCAAACCCGGGCATGTGATCTGAAAAGGAGAAATGACTCTTAGTTTGACATACCAGATGCATCTTGCCAGCAGACAGCAGAAGAACGGTAGAGCATGGTACAGCTCCATCTGCTTGTAGTTCAGGGCCAAGACAAAGGCAATTGACCCCAGGAGGTCGTGATTGGTTGCCAGGGCAACCATGGCCCACAATGCAAAGCCAAGGCTGGCACAGTTGTATCTAAATCAAACTGGAGTGAAGGAAACGCTAGTATATTCTTTGCTGTTTCACATGTCAAATGTGAGAGAAGTTAAACGTGTCTGTACAAGTAAGTACAAACGTAACTACAGAAGCTTTAAAACCTGGGACCTTCCAAAATATCACATCAATGTTTTATCTTCTAAGCCACTGGCATCTTGCCTAAATTGGCTACTTGTGTCTCAACGCAAATCTTGGGCATGATAGTCAGAATTTGTAAACCAACAGAACCCAATATTTGGGCGCATCGTGGAAAGGGATACAGTGGGGAAATTTTGAAAGAAATTAAGTGCAACAAAAATTGCTGAAGCCTCCAACTTTTCTGGACCTTAGTCTTATTCTAAGAGAAGGTCCAAGACTGTTAGGTGAAGAACAGGCTACAAGACGCAATATGCATGTAAATATGAAAATGACAATATTTTGGCGCCTTTAACTGACAGATACTGTAACACACTGTGCGTGCTATTATTGCTGTGATATCATAATATTGCAGAAGTTGAAAAGTAACTTTGAAATTGAACATTGTCAGGAAGACTTTCCTACGAGATTACTTAGTAATTATTACAAAATGTAGTCTTTCAGCATGTTCAGCTCAAGATCTAAAGCATAAATTATAATGTGGTAGTCAGGTTGATGTCTGTGACAGCCAAAATGGCAACAGCGATAATTTGGAGGATGTACCATTGTAATATTTCTCCTGGATAAATTTTACATTTTTAACTGCTCTTTCAAGATGAACAGTTTGTAAAACCCAAGGATACTGGAAATGGCCGTGGTCAATGACGATCAGTCCAGGGTACAGGAGGAAGGCGGCCGCAGTCTTCAGTTGGTTGACCTCCAACTGTTCGGTCAGGGTCCACGAGCAGAAGGCAAGGACGGCGGGGATGTAGAGCAAGACATCCACAGCCAGGACTGTGGGTCAGGGGGATGGAAGAAAGAGTCCAGAATCAATACAAGTTGCCAGAAGTGTACCATGTCTTTGTATACACAAAAACAAGTACTTAACCACTTGCTGACGGAATTATTCCTTTAACAAACTTGTCACAGTCTTGTTTTTATTTTCGGCCACAAATACTGAAATTTTTATACCACAAGATGGCACGGCCAAGTTCAAGTCCTTCACAACGCTGGACTTAATGCATGCTGACCCTTGGCGGCCACTTGTTCAAGCTCTGTGTGTAACATCTCTGACTGCACTGTCACTTTTCTGAAACTCTGAGACAATGCTTTGGAGTGATACTTAGAAAGTTTACAATTTCTTCCGACAGGAATGGTAAAGCCCCAGCAGGGGGACAGTACATAACACAAGGAGGAAAATGAGAAGACACATGCATTCCAACAGAAGTCACACATTACCTGAATACCTCATAAAAAGTTTATGTTCACGGCTCTCGTATCCTCTGGAAGAATTCAAAGCTACCCAGTCAGGATTAATCTTGTAAGCGCTGTTGAGAAAAAAAAAAGATTTGGACTCTGAAATATACCGCAAAGTCAAGTAATGGAAATCATGAAATATGCGATCTGTAAAAGAATAAATAAAAGGAAGCCGGAACACTGGGAGGACTGTGAAGCCCAAATGAGGTCTTTAGTTAAGCAGGAATGCATCATTGTGGACTACATCTGACAAACGACTGCACAGTTCTCTTGGCTGTAGCCACAACAGGGCTATCAATTTCATGGCACTGTTTAACAGTGTACAAGAAACGTTGTGCTTACTATAGCAAACAATTCTGCTAACCGTTAGCACTATTCCAAGGTGGTGCTTGGTGTCCTTGTGCTCCTGGTTGCCCGTGCTTAGAAGTTTCCATTGTTTCGTTTTGTACCTACATTAAGCAAATTTTTCCTCCTAGGTATGCATTTGCCGTGCTTACAGTCTTCATGAAATACACAAAGACCCTGTTAGAGTAAAATCGTGTGCTTAGCAGCGCCATGAAATTGGGCCCAGAACTCATCAAAATCTTCCCCCTAGTAGTAAGGGGTAAGGCAAACCACCTACATTATGCCGCACAGCCAGCTGTGGTAGGCGGTTAGAGGTGGGTAGTCTAAGCCCCAGTAGAGAAGGTCATTGTCTGTGGTGTTTGTGTACCTGCAAAGAAATATACGTGCAGACAAAATTCAGATTGGTGAAATGTGACCAACTGGCAACCCAGACAATGGCTGTGCTTGAATTAGTTAGTTACGGCTTGCAATAACTCATCAGTCAATGAAAAATACATGAAGCCGCTATCCATCAGTGTGTGTGTTTGCAGCTGTAACCAAATAATTTCGACAGAGCTTCTCTTACATGTAAATCTAAGAAAATCCCATTCGAGGGTCTAATTTTTGAGAAGCTGCTTGACGTTTAGCAGACAAATTGTGTTGAAGTGTATCAAGCAAAGATTTTGCAGAGTAGCCATGTCAACAGCTGCATGCACTCAGCAATAGACATGTACACTGTTGAACTACTATTTTAAGAAAAATCTGGTTGTGCCCTCCAGCCTATAGCCTCTGTGAAATGAATGGAAGCTCTTCAAGCAGAAAATCACTAAGCATGAAATTGTGCATTGGTTTTGAGTAATGAGTAAAGCCAACATCTCACTGCGCTTGATGTCAAGCTCACCGGACTGCATTTTTGCCAAGGGAGGGGGAACTGCGAAGCTGGGACGTGTGATTAAGTTTACAAAAAAGAAGAAGGGGGCTATGAGTGTGTTCCAGCACTACAATCCCAAAAGTTAGAGGGGGCAGGTGTACTGCAGCACTGCACTAGTTATTGATGTCCAAAGACGAGTTTATGTGATCTTTGTTACCACTGTTTGATGGGCAGGTTTGTGGTGATCTCCATCCAGTGCCTCTGTGCTTCATAATCTCCAAACATGGGCGGTGTGCCTGCACCTGTAAAATGACGATGATGATAAATCAACAAATGAAAGGCATGAATGCAGCCAGCATTGAAACAATACCATACCCGACCCCGGCAAGCTCGGTGGTCGAGTGGTTAAGACATCTGCACCAGTAAGCAGGAGGTCGGGGGTTCGAGTCCCACCCAAGTAAGCTTGTGAGGTTTTTTCGCAAGCTCTCGGACAATCACTGAGCATACAGTGCTTATTAATATACGTTGGGTAAGGGCAAACCCGTTATATATAATTAACATCTCCCCAACGCAAAAATACATCTTAAAAAAAAAAAAAGCCAAAGCTTATTGTCATAATTAAGTCCCTAATTGTACTTCAGTTTATTCACACAGCCTCAGCCTATTCAAAACTTATCCGCCGCAAAGCTCTTGAGATCCCATTGTTAATATTTTGCAAGCACAATTAGTACACTTGGGACTTCTTTTTGGTAAGCTTGCAAATAAATTAATATTGTAGCAACGGGAAGAAATGTGAAAAGGCCTTCCACCCCATTCCTGACTTAGTCATACATGGGGCCGGGGGGGCAGCCTCACATTTCCTCACGAAAAAGATGCAACGACTTAAACCACAGTAAGGATTTACAACAACCTGAATATTGGTTTAAAGAAACAGCCCATCGCACTGTAACTGCTATAAAAACCAAACAGACTGTCAACGCTAGTCGATTCTCCATTGTTGTTTGAAATTGCGCGACAAATTTTATCAATATTTAGTAAAAATAAGTCAACGTCTTGTCATGTTCAATGCTATGACACTTTGTACACAGTAGATCAGGAGTCCGCCTCGCCCGAACAGTTGTATATTTACTGTGTAGTAAAAATTTCGGCGTTCATTTTACGTAAACCAGACTACTTGAATTGGCATTCTCGTGCTCAAAATATCCATAACTTTGCCAGCAGATATTCTCACTCTTAATTCTGGGAAGGAGGTGTTCCATTTTGCTGAAAAAAATACACAAAATGGCGCACGTCCAGAAAACGGCGACAGGTAAGTGGAAAATTCCACTATATATCCACGAAAGAGTGTAATGCTCATTTGAAATTTTTGGAATTTAGAATATCCTTTCGTGTACTACATTGTATGACGTTTTGATGGTTTCTTGATTTGTGGTTAGATTCGTCCAAAGATGAGACTGAAACAAGTGAAGGCGGTCAAAACGGTAAGGTTGTTTTTCACAAGGCATGTGTTACTAAATAGGCTGACAGTGACATGCATGACATGGCCGACATTAAATTTGTTTTGAAAACTTGACAGTTAAGCTACAGCTGGAAGACACAGATATTAAATTGATAAAACATTACATCACAGTACATTCGATGCATTTAGGATTTTATGACGTAGCAGTACTCACTTCTGCTGATCATGCTAGGCCTACTGACTGTATTTCATCAGTCATGGTCATCATGGTTATGTCCACATCCGTGTGCAACATGGACATCATGGACGTTGTGTCATTCAGTGATGGTGAATGCGGTCTAGTGCAGTCATGATATTGAATGGGAGTGTGGTCGGTTGATGCTATTTTTATGGTTTTGTCAAAATTTGTGAGCGCAGTGTGTGAAAATGCACAAATTGCAACTTGAGCAATATTGTTTGAGCAGTTTTTCTTGGGTCACACATACAGGTGTGACAGCATTGAGCACAAATTTGAAATTTATAAAAAACACAGGATTATTCATTTAACCCTAACCCCTAGGCCCTTTTTGCTGGGGACAGTTCTCAATCCTCTGGACAGAATCCTCCAAAGTTTTTTGAAAATATTACTTTGAAGTGTGCCTGCTGCCTCAATCCTTCAAAATCCTCCTTCAATTCCTGTGATTATGTTGAGGCAGTGCCAATGGCATTCTTGAGCAGTGCGTTTGATTCAAAATTAGAACTATCAGGCTGAATTTATGCATGACCAATCAAAACCAACACAAGGTCAAACCCACTACCTTCTAGACCTGTAAACAGGGCTCGATGAATTCTCCTCCGTCGTATACTGGGCCCTGTCCTGATTCATATATAGGGATTTCTTTTGAAAAAGTTATCCGGGATATCGGGGGGCATAACTAAACATCTGCTTGATTTTATGAGCTGAAATCGCACCAGTACATGTATGGTCACTACTTACGGGGTAAACCATCCGCTTGGTTGTTAATTGTAAAAAACTCGCCTTTTCCTCATTTGAGGAAAAAAAGTTTGCCTTTTTTGCTGTTTTCCCACTCCAGACGAAGTTTTTCCCACTTGCACGAAAGCGACGGCTGTTTCGTCACTTTTGTGTCACATTACAGAGAGCGAGCCGCGCTACCAATGATTAGACGTAAACAGTATGTGACTGGACAGGGAACCGGCCAAGGGCATTGCGTATTAGCTGTGACACAGAACAGCCGTAATTTTCTACGAGTACTTAAATCAACAGGTACTCTCGCACATCTGAACGAGATCCGTAGGTGCTGAAGTCTGGGGGCAAGCTAGACAGGCTCTCGTACAGTGTACCATTACTTAACCGTACAAAAGAGTCTGAGTAATGTACAAGTCAGGTGAAAATTCTTACAGAGTGGGAAATGACAGAAAAAGGCAACATGTTTTCTTCCAAACGAGGAAAAGACAAGTTTTCTACAATTAGCAATCAAGTAGATTTTTTACAGCGTAAATAGTGAACATACCGGTGCAATTTCAGCTCATAAAATTAAGCGGATGTCTATGCCCCTGGATGTCCCGGATAAAGTTTTCGAAAGAAATCCCTTTTAATCAGGACAGGGCCCAGGGCAATAAGCCATGTGCTTTTGCCATTCACCCTCAATCCTCCAAAATCCACCAAAACCGCCCAAACGATCTTGGAGGACTGAGGAGGGTTAATTGTTTTATGACTCAAACTTCAAGTGTGTAGTTGTTGGTTTTGAACAAAATCAGAACTAACCTATAAAGGTGACCCTACATTTTGCCAGTCACTGGCCACTTGGATAGGCATGGCTTAGTTTAGGGAATTTTAAATTATGCATGCAATTAACAGCAGGGCCTATATACAGTAGGCTACCTTTCTCTTTCCTGATGGATAAACTAGTTCTTCCATGCACAGGAAAGTTTTTCCGTCAGTATTCACCTAAAAGCTAGAAACTAACAGGTAAAAATTCACCTGACATGTTGTGGTTGGCGTGTACATGCGTGTGCTCAACAAGGCTATATCATTACAAGAGTGTTGTAAATTACTGCCTAAATGACTATGGTGGACATGACTTTCAAAACTAAACTGATTGTCTGTGGTCAGTTAGGTGACTGCTGTTTTTAAATGCTGCTGTGTTTTTGTAAGTTGTAGGACTGGGCCCACAGGCTACACTGTGTTGATATAGTTGAGTTTGTTACGTCCCAACTATAGCGTATGTCCCAACTATAGTGTATGTCCCAACTGTAGTGCTGTAGTTGGACTGGCCCAACTATTGCTGACCAATTTTTATAGACATTTTCTAAACCTTTAATATCCAAGTTTATGTATCTTACGCAGTTTTGGTGTTGAGACCAAAACTGTTACGAAGACAAGTTAGCCACCACACAACTCGGTCCCGACTGTCCACACCCTAAAAAAGCTGTCCTCTTAACGTTGTGAATGCCTTCCCAGCAGTTGCCTTGGACGTATGGTACATGCAATGCAAAAGGTTAGGAAAACACATGCATGTGTGCGTGTTCAGGTACAGTACATGCATATCCCCTGGTCAATTTCATACACCATCATTTGTATGAAGATCTTGTCTGCACTGGAATCATAAATTTAACCAAGATGTATCCATGTAAAACAAGTTTTCCAAACTCTATGTTGTTTTTCTGCAGACCTGTCAAATTTGCAATTGTTCATTGAAAAATTCCCCAGTTGAAAAAAAGTGCAAAGGACAAAGGAAGTTGTTGTAGACTTTTGGAAAACCCATTCTTGTATCGTTCCCTCAGTCAGAAATAGATTAGAAGTTGAAAGAGTGCAACATTTCAGTTACTTGGCGTTAATATTTCAGCAGATTTGAGATGGGATTTTCGCTTAGATTATTAGGAAAGCTCAACAAAGATTGTTCTTTTCAAGACGGTTGAAAAGTTTCCAAAGTGGGCTGTTAAAGCTCTATCGGGCGGTGATTGAGGGTGTTTTGACATGGTCAATCATTGTCTGGTGGGGCAATGCTACAGTCAGTGATAGGAAGCATCTCAGCTGAATCGTTTGTATTGTAAGTAAGATCATTGGTTGTCAGCTCCCAGTACTTGAAGATTTGTACCATTCTCAGGTCAAGAAGAGAGCCCAGTGTATTGTAGAGGACAAGTTTCATCGGGCACACAATAATTTCCAGCTCATGCGGTCAAACAAACGATATCGTTCAATAAAGTCCAGTTCTAATAGCACAGTGTTAAGTTTTAATACCACAGTGGTTCGCATCCTTAACGATAGCTTTTAAGAATGTACAGAAGCTCAGATGCTTCTTTTTTTTTTTTTTTTGTGCACAAATTATACTGCTTACCAGTTATGTCAAACCTGGACCCTTTCTCATCATCTGCTTTTGGACTTTAATTTGTGTTGTACTTTTTTTGGTATTTGTGAACATTTCAACGTACATATTTTGTGGTTTTTTTAATTGTGACATTTTGATGGTTTTGAAAACAATTTTAGTCACGCAAAAATGAAAAACATTTCACAAGGACAAAGTAGGTGACAATAAAATAGCACAGTAATAATAATAATAAAATTCTAAAGAGTGACAGGAACCAAATGTCAGTCAGAAATCCAAAAGGATTCCTATATTTCACGGAGTCAGGTCAAAGTCATGAGTAATCTTACGTTCAGCTTGAGAAGCATGTAACGCTTACTGTGCTCATGGGAAGCGGAGGGAAGCAGGGGAGAAGAGGGCGTGGGGGTTGATGTAAGGGTCGATAAACTACATGTACATGTGTGTGTATATTTCTGTGCTACATGTACACGTACTTCCTATTTTTGAGCTGTTTGCCAAGGAACAGGAAATTGATTGATTCCATAAAGACACTGTGGATGAACTATTAATATCCAGAAACTGGCCGCTGGCTAGCCATATACGTGTAATTACTGTAGTATCTGATAGGAGGCTATAATTTAGTGTACTTTAAAATTTATAGTGAAATCACAAGCTTATTTGCACTTGACCAAATTAGCTCTCCGTGATCTGACTGGTTACATCAGATTGCTTATAAAATACACATACATATATCAGGGAGGGGCAAACAAAAGTTAGAAGTTAATCTCAGTGGTACATACTTGTGTGTGTATTTCAGGCCATTTTGTGCAAGTCGGGTGGAACAGGGACACAAATAGTTACTGTTTTGGACCTCAAATTTGGAAAAAGATACATGTGCATTGTACATGCACTGTTCATATACGTGTACATGTATATGTTACCGTGGGTGTTTATACACGTGGACAAGCATTTCTGTAAATTTACTGTTTTCAGTGGGAAGATCCGGACTCTGAAAGGCATGAGTCAGATAGCCGCTGAAACCTGTTAGCACCTTAAGACCACCAAGACTAAAAATACCTGCCAGGTTGACAGGTATGGGGGAGGGTTTCTCCAGGGCTGTATTTGTATCAACTACATGTAGCTTCTGCCAATTGACAGTTGCTACATTCAGTGTCAAATGGATGTAGCCGTTAGCCAGTGGCTACCATCGGCGGGTTTGTTGTCTGTAGCCATAGCCTTAACTGTGGAAGTCTATCTGCAAGACACAAGACAACAGGATGATAGAAATTTTAACAGATTAAAAAATATCTCTGTCTACACATACATGTAGAGGAATTTTTCTGTACTACATGTACATAGACCTTGCTGAAAATTTAAACTACAAAACAAAGTATACTGCAATTTCTTGATCTTTTTTACCAGGCATTGATAGCAGGAATGGAGCAGGAAACAGTGGTGGAGTCATAGGTCCGTCATCGTTTGTCTTTGGTGAAAATATGGAGAGCCGTGTCCTGAAGGTGAGATCTTGAGTTTGTACAGTCGTGACAGTGTGTGCTACTTGAGACAATTCTGGTTGAAGACACTGGAAGAATGAAACTAATAATCATGCTATTACTACCAAAAGATTCCAATGCCATTTCCAATCAGCTGAAAATACTTGCGTAGATTCATAAATCAAGGAGGAAAATGTTTGTTACCCCCAAATATTCTTTGGTGTTTACTTTTTTTAATCAAACTTGGTGACATAGAAATGGATTAGCTATGCATACAGACTTAAGGTGTGTAGCAACGTACATGCACAGAGTTTGATATTTTTCCAAGGTAACTTGTAGTGGGCAGACTGCCAATACGTTCAGTGACTTGTGCGTGTTGTAACCAAAAAGATTTACTGTTGCTTGCAGAGACCTGCTGAGGAACAGCTGGATAGAAAGACATCTGAGAAAGCAGGTAAAAAGAAATTTCTTTTTTTCAACACTTTCACTTTTTAAGTTCATCAGTTCATGAAATAGTCACACGTCGTTTTTTCTGCCGGATACCATAATCTGTAACGTCATCTATTGAATCATGTTGCATTTATGGATGGCACATGACGGCTGTTAAAGTGACACTAACAGTTGCTAAAATCCTAATAAACGGCTGGTCACAATTTGTCACTTTTGCCTGGGCCTTGTCTTCATTCCACACAGACGATGAGACTGACAAGAAGAAAGAAGAACCAGGGGAATTCCCCAAGGCATCCCCGATGGTCATGGCACAGAGACCCATCTTGTTTGCAGGTGAGACACGTGACTAACGTAAGCTGCTTTTTTCTGAGGGGTTTCTGTTTTTATACCCTGTCACAGCTTAATACGTTGAATTTATTCTCAGATGTTTTGTGTTTAGAAGTAAGATGATCGTCATAGAAATGTGCGTTAAATACCTGTCAGACAAGCCATGTTGTCTAATTGTACAGTTTAATTTGTACCAATCACTGGGTTTGTGTGGTTTTTCCGTGCAGGGTCTGCAAAAGATACAAAAGCTGAGAAAGGTAAAGATTTTCGAATATATTTTTGTAATGGAGACAAATTATGTATCTTTATTACTCAAAGACACAGGTGGCTCATCAATTAGTATTGCATTGCAAGGGGGTTGGATCCTCGTGTTTGGAGTTCAAGGTTGTGCCAGAGATGCCTTTGGCCATTCATTGTTGTGTATCAGCAGTAAAAGCAGAAGCCACAGCCATTCAATCCCAGATTTTGACACTTCCTAGGTAGCACCTGTTGCACTTACTGATTTGTCCCATCTGGCTTCACATCTATTGGTATATCTAAGGGATTAGACTTTCTAGGGCAAAGGAGGTAAACATTGTACTGCATCGTAATCGGCTGGAGTCAGCAAGACAAGCCATTGTAATTGTCAAATACTGCCTTCAAATTTGCAGTGGGCTTTCTAAATTTTGTAGAGCAGGGGAAACTATCAGTGGTTTGCAGCTCTGCAGTTAATCATCAGGCTCCTGCCAGTCACTCCCAATTGCTTCTTCCTGTCAACGTTTCCTCAGCATCACTGCACTTTTATTGCATTCTTTAACCCACAGAAGAAGTGAAGTCTAGTTTCAAGTTGAACCCACCCACCCTTGTCCATGGAAAGGCCAAGCCAGCACCCAAAACAGCAAGTAAGTTTGCCACCCCACCGATAACCAGTTTTGACGGCATAGATGCCATGCAGGCAACAGTTTGTGAGGCAGTTTATTGGAAGCATTAGATGAGGTTTTGCAGGGTGACCTTTGCTCTGCAAGACATCAAGTAGTGTGCATTGTCAAATGCATGCTTGCCCCTGTACCGTGGGTTGTGCTTTCATCTAGAAATGGTGGACAAGGCGGCATTTCTGGACATAAATTGTTTTGTTTAATTTGTTCTTCGTATTCCTTTATCACCAGGTGCTGATGGGGACACCGCCAGCCCTGCCAAGCCATTGCTGCGCCCCTCTCCACTCTGCCACACGTCACCGCACTGGGCCACCCTTGCTGCAGGTAAAAAAAAAGCAGAAGTGGATTTTACCTAACCTCATCTTGGGTGCACCTATATTCAAATCAGTCCACCTTTGCCCTTTATCACTTGAAAACTACCTTGTTCTATGAAGCTTTTACCCTACTGAATACGTAGATACATGATCAGGCAACACGACTGAGCTGATGTTTCATGAACACTGCGTCTTCAGAATCATCTATTGCAGTGTAGAGCTGTCCATGCTGCTGTCTGATGGACAGAGGACAGAGAAAAAAATATGCACTTTATTTTCAAGCAGTTTGTAAACGGCATTCTAACATCAACGAAAGCCGGCACCATCAGGTGTCTGTGGGGATCAAAAAACCACACATCACACGCGTTGTGCAGAGTCGTTGCCAAGCATTTCACTGAACTGTTTTTGAATTCTTATTTGCCGCATTGGTGGTTGTACATGTTGAAGCTGAAGCTTACAGGTTTTCTGGGGGGGGGGGGAAATGACAGTGAATCACTGGGTTTTTTTCTGAATGGTTGTGGTTGGGTTTGTGGGAAAAGATTATCTGCCTATGCGTGAAATTTGTGAAAGGCTTGAAAAGTGAGGGGAAGTCCTTGGAAAGTTCACGTTGTGTTATGAACTGATGATGTGTTAAAAGTTAAGAACTGAACATTATTCGTCAGATGCAGCACTGAAATATTAAGCCTTTGAGGACGTAACAATGTTATAGCCATAATATGCGATTATTATAGCCATAATATGCGATTATTATAGCCATAATATAAGTGCCTCAGCTTCTGAGTTGGCCCTTAAGAATAGCCACGTTTTTTTTGGGGGGGTGAGCAGTCTATTCTGTAAATTTGAAATCATACGAGTTGTTTGGCGTGCGCTTACGCATTTGCCAGTCAACATTTATGTTTTTTTCCCAGCATTTTGGAGGATACAGCAGAGGTGTAGCAGCAAAGTGCTAGTGCTAGTAAACCGTTGAATGGAGCGCTCCTATTGTACTGGTAAATGTGCAAAAAAGAAAACAAATCAGCAAAATTTGTGGGATCCAAAGCCAAAATGGTTGGCTGGGAGTGAATCAATTTTGTTCTCTTCTGCCGGGGACAAAGAACCTCATCCTTTCTCCCCCATCTTTTCCTTTCAGTTGCCACTGGAGGAGCATTCAAATTAAAAGCTTCCTCACACCATACCTCCTCTTCCTTTTCTCAATGGAATGGGAAAGGTAAGGGAACACCATGCCCTGCCTGGAAAAAGACCATCCCTCAAAAAAAAAAGAAGAAAAAAAGGGAGATCATAGCATGTGCATCCCCATATCATGGTGTTCTTATTTGGCATGCTTTTATTTTCCTTTGTTAATTTTTGTCATCAGTTCCCAGACTAAGAGCCACATATTCAAGATATTTCCAGTGACCGAAAAAAATGGGGGGGATATACTATCACAGAATCTTTCATGTAACAGTACCTAGTAGATCGGCAATAAATGAATTGTGATATGTATATTGGAAATGTGAACAGAAAACTCCTAAAAAAATTGGTAGTCATTTCTCAAGGAAACAAAAAAAAATCACAAAGTTTTTTTGGGTCTTGCACACAGTGTTATTAAAGTAAAATTGGAAATGGTACTAGGGATGCTCACCTGTGTGCTAGTGGGTAATCACTTGAAAGAATCATCTAATAAAATCAGGTTTACACCCTGTGAACGCTTTCGTTTTCCCTTTCATAACAGATGTCACTGTTTTTCTTGGTCCACCCCATTTCCGCTTGCACGCTTTGTCATTTTTTTGCTGAAGCCAAATCACACCTGTATGCAGAGTGCATACCTAGAAAAGCAGAGGATGAGACAGCCAGTGAATTCTGCAGGTCCTGGAGGCGGTGTCGTGGCTTTCTCAAGAGAGCGCCATGGAAGGACATTTTTCACATGAGGGCGCTGTTTCATGAGCAGAGCGTGTAATGTGGATTAGTGGGGAGTGAATGCAAGTGTGGCAAGACCACATGTCAACTGAATTTGCAGTGCCACTGCACGACAACACACTTTACTGTGCACATACAGTGGCTCATTGAAGCTCTCAGATGGCAGACACATGCAGCATTTTTGATGTGTGTGGAACAGAAATGCCTCGACGCATCTCTGTGTCAAAAATGAGCACTACTCCAAAAGGATACTTTCTGTTCACTTGTACATGTATGTGTATACATGTAGGTCTCTCTCAAAGGACATCACTTCCTGCAGATCACCATGTGCATCGGCATTTTTTACTGCAATTGTCATGACTGTGCTGTACACATTTGGACCAACACGCGTGCGAGTTTTGCACATTGCGCACACGCGCATTTGTTGGCGTTGTATACGCATTTGTAATTTTCCTGCAAAGATGGTGTCCAATGAGAGATATTTGTACATGAGCTGGGTCCGGTTACGTACGTGTAACTAAAACTAAAACCACAAGCAATTTTATGTTTTAACCTGAGTGATACATTGTGTGTTGCAAGCAAAACCTCATCTGTCTTGCCACTCCACTTACTTAGCAGTAGCTCTATAAACAGATGAAAACTGTAATGTCAGCAAAGGAAAAACCACCCAGTGTTGAAATACCCTCAGATTTCTTATCAATCCTTTGGACAAAGTTAAAAAGTGTAGAGCAGATCAATAGGAACTGTGCAGAATTAATAGCAGTCATTTACATGTACCTGCCCCTCTGAAAAGTGCACCCATTTGGCTGTGCAGCTGATGCATGGATGTGTCCTGTGTATACCTTGTCTTCTTGCCATGCTTAAAAGAAATTCTTTTTTTGTGCTTCAATTTTTGGAATGCAATCTTGAAGCAAGTCAGTTGGACTGTGCTCTTTTAAAGTGGTTTTCATTGTTTTATTTTATACATTTCAAATTTTCTAGGTTTTTTTTTTTATATATTCACAATCACAAGCCAGTGTTATGTAGCAGTGCATGGAAGTTACAGTCTACTGATCTGTTGCAATTTTCTTTGGCACTGGCTTCGAAGATGATTACCATGAAATAAAGCGTGTTGTTTAGCCATCATGTTCTTTTAGTGTTTGAAATTCTGACGTGATTAAACATTGGGTTTTTCAGTGACTGGTTTATTGGGGGTGTTGAAATGCACTTGGTATAATACTGCATCGCCTCTTTCTCTTCAGCATTATAACAAAAATCTTGGTTTTTTCCTGCTAACATTGTGATGTTGCCATCTCAAACCACCATTTATTTTAAGGCAGCTTTCATAAGAGTCACTTTGCATTGTTAAGTTTTCCTTCATGTTTTTCTTTGAAATGTTAATATTTCATATTAATTTGGCTATTGTACATTTACTCAAGCCTGGTTTCAGGGACGTTCTTTGAAATCTGTTATTTAGAATCTTCTACAACACACCAGTTTGATCAAGAAAGTGACACCAGATTTTGCCTCAAGCGTTAAATACATTATAAAAAGAGAACATTATGTTGTCCCTGACATAGAAAAGGTGACCGTCTGGATGAGAAGCCTTTTCTCAAATGTCACCTTAAACTGTCAGACTCAGGATTCTTGTACCTTCATTTGTTCTAAAATTTGGATCCCGAATGGTAGCCTCTGAGTTGGCATAAGTTTCAAAATGGTGCTACAGCAGAAAAACATTGCAGATGGTATAGATCTTAACTTTTAAACTAAGAACAAGGCCATGTATTCATTAAGGATGGAGTTTGTAATCTGATGATTTTTCAATCTTGTTCACAGATGGGAAACAGAGGAACCCAGAGGATGGTTCGGTTGAAGTTTCCTCCTCCTCCGCCTCCACAGACACCACAGAAACTCCCACAAAGGGGGATGGCGGCACAGAGTCCAGCACCGCCAACGGCAAACCCAAGATGAACTTCTTCATCAAGCTCTCCGCCAGCGAGACTGACAGGGACAGGGGCTTCGGGGTGTTTGGCAGCTTCTCCAATGCCAACGTCGGCTTTGCCAAGAAGCCTGACCACAATGGCACCACAAACGAGAACTACTTCCTGCAGTTTGCTAAAGTGGACAGCAGGTGGGTCGGTAGGGAATGAAACAGGCTGACTGTGCCCTTGGGTACACGTCTCTTGCTCAAGGAGCATAACCGGACATGTTTGTAATAGGTCCCAAGCACATGCCTATGACCACGTCAGTTCCGGGTATCCAAGAGTGCGGCATACCCCAAGCATTAGGCTGTTGTCAGAATTTCTCTGCTACCACTGGAAATATTACAGTCTGCCTGCTTATGAAAGCTACCACCCACCTAGTGACTTGATCGGAATATATCCGGTTCATATTGGGATATTTACTTATGGTAAATAATAAACAATTATTATTTTATTTTTGCGAAAGGCGTGCAATTTAGTTTTTAAACTTCCGTGTGTCATTTTTTTAATAAAAAAAACACCGAAGAATATATACATATAAAAATTGTCTTGTATCCAGACTTCTGAAATGTGGTATAAATGTTCCTTGGCTTTATTGTCAGCAACAGTAAAGAAGAAGGTGTTGAGAGCCCGAAGGGACTAAGCAACTCTGGCAACTCATTCGTCTTCGGTCAGAACATGGATGAAAGAGTGGTAGTGAGTATTTCACTGATTCTCTTGAACCTACTCCTCCGAAAATACTGTAATACAGCTCGACCTTGGACAAACTGTCTCAGACTGTCTCTAGAGTGGGGACTTCTGACAGACTGTGAACTATAAGTGGTGATAGTTAGCCCACTTTTGAAAGCCAGTGAAGGATGCATCATTTTCCACCTATGTGGGTTTTGAGTGCAGTTTTCAATTGAATGTGCACAAAGTAGGAGTCTTCTCTTTAGAGAAATGCTCCTGAGCATGGTAGAGTTGTTACAGCATCTTGCATCTGTAGAATAATTGCACAGTCTTTCTTTTGTAAGGCATGTATGTTTGAATAAAGGCCATACCACCAATACCATTTAGCTTTTGTCAAATTCTGTCTGTGTACTTTGAAACTAGCCTACTGAAAAAAAAATGCTCAATATTTGCTCCCAATTTTGACAGTAACATAGGTGTCAGAAGCAGAATGCCGTTCAAGTCCAAAAGATCTTCTTGTAAAATGACATACCATAAGATTGCGATCCGTTGAATTTACCAACTAGCTCTTTTTGTCTTTCTCCCTAGTAGAATGCTACCTATGAAGAGGGTTGATACAGAATATTATCCCCATGTTTTAACTTTGCTCATTTGTGTCTCTTTATACAGAGCCCACAGCAGACGGAAAAGGAATCACAGGGAGGCACTTCAGCTCAGTTTGGTAGCCAGACTAGCCTATCATTTTCTGCTCAGGTATGGGTCATGCATTTTTGTTTTCTGCCCAAACAAATTCTTCATAGTCACCAGAAGGTTTTCGGAGGATAAGGACACCGGAGCCCTACCACTGCATTACGGTCCCAAAGGGGGGCACTTGGTCTCCTCTTCCCCCGTTTTCAGATTTTTTTTTACCAGAGATCATTTTCCTTTTACAGTGTTTATCCTTTGCTATCTTAAGTTTAAGACTTAAGTTTAAAGATAGGAGAAATTGTCACAGATATATGCTGCACTGGTCTTAAGCCAGTTTACCAGCTATTCAAATGAGCTGTGACAAAAGCATTCATTTGTCACTGTTAACCCTGTTACCTAAGACTGGTCTTGTGAATGGACTTCTGAAAAGACTTGTGATGGGCTGAAGTACAATACTGTTTGTGATATTGTCTTAAAGTTTCACAACTGTCGCTGTGTTCTTTTTATGTTATGATAAGCTTTCAGATCGCTTGTATGATCGTATTGACATGTTGCAATGATATATTTTACAGGCTTCTCCACCTGACGACACTTCCCCGCTGAAATCACAAGGTATGTTGAACATCATCAAGATTATCAATGTATGTGAGATTGTATCAGCAGTACAAACAAAGGGAAAAAGCACAAATATTAATTTAAGATGGAGGGAGTTCTTCAGAAATTGTTCTTATAAGTGACCTTCTATTTATTGTCATTGCGCACACGGTAATCAACCCAGCCTCAGCATGCACTCTTCCAGGTCTTTAAAGTGGAGACATGCAAGCATAGAAAACTGTCTAGCTAATGGTCACAAGTACTTTTATTCCCTGGCTCGGTTCAAACCGGCTTTTGGAAAACGCTTGATGAGGATCCATTTGCTTTGCTTGCGTGCATCTTTGCCAGAGACAACTGGCAAGTCGCTCCTAGAGAGTGCTAGCGCCTACGAAAAAGCCAAGAAGAGCTCGGAGGTGACGTTTGAGGAGGTGACCAGCAGGACGGGGGAGGAAGATGAAGAGAATGTCTTCCAGGTCAGTGCTTGGTCAGAGGTTAGGCAGGGTTATTGATTGTTGAAAGCACTATAATCTCAACAAGGTTGAGAAAACTTGGATTTTTTTGTTCTGTTTGGGAGGCTCTGTTTTGGATTATGGGTCATTCAAAGTCCGTGGGAACCAGCAATATTCCTAGCATTTTAGGCTGATCCAAAATACAGAATAGTAGATTTTTGTAAGGACTTTTATGTCTTTGAAAGAACTCATTAGAGAATTAAGTGGTCCGGCTTGTCTCAAATTGCAGCATGCCCCGTGTCACTGATGCATGCAGTATTAAAGACATCACTGGGAAGGTACACCAGGTTTTTGCTTTGTGATATCATGTTGAATGTCTTTCTCTCTCCTGTAGGCCCAGTGTAAACTCTTTGTCTTTGATGCTGAGAAGCACAGCTGGCAGGAACGCGGCCGGGGCTTACTACGACTCAATGACCAGGTGCCGGCATCATCGGAGCAGTCCTCACTCCAGTCCAGACTAGGTAGGTTTGAGAACTCAACTAAATATATATTAACTTGATACCAGAATTGGAAGCCATTTACCGCAGTAGCGCCATGTCAGCAAGCGGGTTGTATACACGAGGTGCCTCTTCAGTCAGTAGGGTGTTGTGAATTACCTAAAATAATATGCGCCACAGGTTAAAGTACGTGCATGTCGATGCGATACCACTCTGGTAAAGGCGTCTTTGTGTATTAGTTCATAATACGGGCGATTCACAATAGTGCGCCACCAAGAGTTTGCAATGCTCTGACCGATCATAACGCGCAAAATTTGTTGACCATTTCCAAACGTGCATTGGGTCGACAGATTTCGCGCATTGTGATTGGCCAACGCGTTGCAAACTCTTGGTGGCGCACTATTGTGAAGTGGCGTATTCCAAGGTAAATTAATCAGTGTCAGTGACGCATGTTGGACAAGTTGCAGATCTGCACAAGCTGATCTTGAATGTCGCCTGTTAAATTTTGCTTTCCATTTGAATAAAGTGTGAAGCAGTCATTATTGCATCATATGCTCCCTCTTTTTATTGCTTATTGCATAAGTGCTGAGCATGAAGCCAGAGGTCTGGCATACTTTCACTTCAAAGTTTGAAAAACTTCATTGCACTATTTTTGTTCATTTGAGCAAGGTTTGTAACGGAGGAAGTTTTCCCAACTGACGACCTATTGTCCTCTCATACCGTTCTTTAAGGACAACTTGCCAAGACCTAGATGCATTGTCTTATGTAGTTTCTGAAGCTTACACCATAGACACATGCTGGACGTTAACATTGGTTTTCTACATGACACCTCATATGAAAGTGTGAGCATGGAAGTGTGTAGTTCATCTTGTGTTTGCAGAAAATACTGGCTCATCTTGTTTGGAGAAGAGGGGACTTTCAGTGAAGTTTGAATATTAAACATTGTCGTCTTTGATTCTTAGTGATGCGCACACAAGGGAGTCTTCGCGTCGTCCTGAACACCAAGATCTGGAGTGGGATGACAATAGAAAAGGCCTCACCAAAGAATATACGCCTGTCGGCGAGGGATGGCGAGAGTGACAGCATTAGAGTTTTCCTTGTCTCTGTAAGTTATTCAGCTTCACTGTGACCTTACTACTTCCCTTTGTAAGACTTCCTCTCAGAAAAAGTAATCTCCAAACTTAAACAAGGGTTTGGAAGCAAGTTCTTGTTGTTGGCAGTCCTGCACAGCACACCAAAGCCACTGTTATGCTACTTTTGACAGGTTGTTAAAGTGAAGCAAATTCAGACTTCTTCTCAAACTCCCTCTTAAAACATGCTCTTGCCACACATTGCTGACAGGCCTCCCCAAAAGATGCGGAGCAGATCTACAGGGCCATCGAATACAGGGTGCAGGAACTGAAGTACAACGAGCAGCAGCAAGCTGAGAGAGCCAAAGAGGAGGGCGGAGCAAAAGCTGAAGAGGAGGAGGAGACGGCAGGCAAAGATGAAGATGATGACAGCGGTGATGGCAAACAGATTACTCAAGTGTCGACACTCCCTGTTGTATCAGTCGATAGTGACGATTCTGTCTCGCAGTCAAACTCGGCCCTCACAGACAGAAGTGAGTTCTGATGACAGACATGATTTGTTTTTTTTTATTTTTATTCCCCTTACAATATGTTTTGCATAGGATGTCCCAGAAAAGGAGTAGATTGCTGCAGAAAGTATCTGGAGGATGACGTCTTCCTTTGATCCATGCTGTAAATCTAATGAGCTCTGCACTTAGTTCTTCCAGTTTAACCTTTTTTTTGTGAAAGGTTGGTGTCATCCCTGGCTTAGAATGACTGTACAAATCTGGATTTCTTTGCTGTGTTTGCCATATGTGCTCTTTATCTTGGAACTGAAAAAACTGTTTGCGGAGGAAGCAGGCTATATAGATGTATTTAGGTTATTCTAGGCTTTGGTTTGAGCCTGCATTCTTACATGGGCTGCAACAAAAACCCCATCATTTAACTCTCAAAGTTATGATTTTTCCTCGTTTCTTCACAAAGGTTCACCAGAACCGTCAGATCCTCGAATCGAAGGGAATCCTGAGACGCCTCCAGCAAGCAATTAAAGAGAAAGGAAGAGTTGGGCTAAATAGTGGAAAGCTGTGGCTTTTGGACAGGCAATTTTTTCTTTTCCATCCGAACTTGACTGTTAGAGTTTTACTGTTGCAAGGATGGAAAGGATGTGGATACTGAAAACTTCAGCACTTTTGTTGGAAGGAAATCATTGGTGGAAGCAGGCGATCACTAACTGCGTATGGAAGTGATGTCACGCAGCCATCAATAAAAAGTGTGTACAGTGCAGAAATGGCCAAATGCAGCCCTCTATGGGCTGAATGTTTGGCCCTATCTTTAAGTTGGTGATTTCTAAAGGGAAAAAGAAAAGAAAAAACGGGAGGAAAGATAGTATACACGTCACGTGGATACCAATAGCTGATCTGAGATCACATTGCTGGATCAGCTGATGCTGCATCAGTTGATGCCAGATCACCTAATGTTTAATTACCTGTAGATCAGCTTGTTCTGGATCACCTGATGTTCTGCATCGTTGGGTGCTAGGTCACATGATACTAAATCACTTGATTCTAGATCACCTGATGCAAGATCACCAGATGCTGATGTTGGATCACCTGGTGCCCTGTGACGTCATGCTGGATCACTTTATGCTGGATCACCAGAAGCCAGATTATCTAATCGTAGACAATCCAGTGCCATATTGCTACATTTTGTATCGCCTGATGCCAGATCACCTGACATCAGAACACCTGATGCCATAATAGATCACCTGATGTGAGACTGCTTCATGTTGGATCAGCTGATGCTAGATCATCTTGGTGTAAGATCTCCTGTCAAATCACATGATGCCAGTGCATCACGTTATCTCAATTCCCTGACACCAGATATCATTTTGCCACATCAACCTTGGATTTGTCAAGGTAATCGGTGATTCCGGATACGTACATTTTAAATTTCTCACAACTGCATGACTTTTTGACCTGGAATCCTATTCTTGTGAAGGAATACCTCTGACAAAAGCCAGACACTTTGAATTGATATCCTGACCACTTTCAGAAGTGATCAGAGTTGAATTCTTCGGCAGAGGACAACTTTTGGCTGTGGCTTGTAGTCACAGGCTGCCATAAAATGATGCATTCCAGTATGGGATTGATTTAAATGGATGTCACCAGTCATCTGGTTTATAGAGGACACAAATCGTGAGATACGCAGTCTTCAGTACAGCGTCCCTGGCTTCTGTGATCCACCGTGGTATTGTCATTCTCATCATTCAGCTTCAAGCTAGAATGCTTGAGACCGTTGGTCTGTTCTAAATTTTTTTCTGTTGGGCGCAATGGATGAAAGGCTGATTTTTCCTGTCGCTTTGCTCCGAGGACTGATGAAATGTGGGAAGCAGTGAGTGTGTAGCTGTCGGGTAATTCCTGACTGCATTAGGCTTTCTAGCGTAGGTCCTTCATTTATTGTTTCTTTCCAAACACTGTGTTCCAGCTTTGTCATTTTTTTTTTTTGTGGAAGGTACTCATTTAACTTCAGAGAACATGAGCAATTTTCTTTGGTACAGGTACAATGTTTCATGTCAATTTATTTCAGAGATTTCCCTCAATGCTTGTAGGAAGGAGATTTTTGCCATGGCAATCAACTTTGTTTTTGGCCTTGGACAGCCTTTACTTGTTTGTGTAGATTGTCCAAAACAAAGGGCCCCACAATTATTTCTTTAAAAAACAATTGTCAGAACATAATGATACGAGACAAGAAAAAATACTCAAACCAGGCAAGGTTGTGTCAAGGTTGATCCAGAAACCTATCCATGGGAACGCATGGATGTTGAGAGGGAATTCATGGATAATGTGTAGGACTTGGAGTATGTTTGGTTCATTCCACCTCCTAAGGCGCAAAATATCCCACTGACATTGATGTCTTATGCCCTTTCAAAGGACCTGTTCAAAAGGTGGAATAATTTACTCTGTAAGAATGGAAATTCCATTCCTCCTATCAAGGCATGCCATCTGGAAAACAAATGTTTGGAGGCACAGCGTGTTCACAAGGGATGGGATTTGATGAGGAAGCCTGTTCCGGTGTTTCATAATCATTCCAGCTAATTTGGCACAAAATGTCAGTTGAGTTGGTAGGCTCTTCATCAAACCTAACACAAAGGGGCATGTAGGCTCCAGTTACTGTACATGTGTGTGCATACCAGTACTTGTGATTACACATCCGCAGTGGCCAAGTATCCTGGATGAACTTGTGTCAGCTAAGCAGTTAAGAAAAAATACTGCTGTGGTTTGGAAGTGCCTGTGCATTCTTTAGCTCGAGGCTTTTCTCCAGTTTTAATGTAGACAAGAACAAATATCTTAATTTAAAGATGTCTTTGGCCACAGGAGTGGTACTTTTATTTAGGCAGAGGGCATGTTGTTTTTTATATTTGTGTAATGTGACCATTTGCGCCTTTGCTACAACACGAGTAGATGTACATGTGAGCCATTATCACTAATAGCTTAACGTTACTGGTAAAATGGACTCTCTTTTTTTTTTCAAGGCCAGTTTATGAACATGGCTGGACATAGGGTGCTGTCATTTGTTGAAATCCATGCATAGGGCAGTGCTGAAAATCATAATGCTGCGAGGAAGAGTGTTTGCTGCAAGAGCCAGTGTTACTTCGATGGAGACTGGAAGCTAGGAGTAAAGTAGGGAGTAGTATGAGATGGGCCATGTTTCCTCCTGCTCGGCCAAAAAAACTAGGAGGCAAATGTTATGGCTAAGATTAAGAAAATTGACAGTTTCTTTAGGGGGAGGGCATTCTGGCAGTGTCAGCATTCTGACATCCATCAAGTGTTTTGCCATTCTGTCACTGTTTGTCAGTATTCTGACATCCATCAAGTGTTTTGCCATTCTGTCACTGTTTGTCAATATTCTGACATCCATCCATCAAGTGTTTTGCCATTCTGTCACTGTTTGTCGGTATTCTGACATCCGTTTTCTTTTCCATTCTGACATCCATGCAGTTTTTTGCCATTCTGTCACTATTTTTCAACATTCTGCCACCCATCAACAGTTTTTGCCATACTGTCAGTATTTGTCAGCATTCTGACATCTGTCAAAAGCAACTGACCATTGGCAAATGATCCAGTTTCGAGACCACACTGTGCCAGCTGAAACAGGAGGTCGGTTCATGCACTCCTGGACAGCAGACTGTCATTCAGTTCAAAGAAACATGGCTTTCTCATTTAGTATTTTAGGATAGTAAAACCTGCCAAACAGAGGCCATTTACTGTCTTTTTGGAAACTGGTTCTAGTAAACTAGTCTGGCCATGGGCATTACACATCCCATGACGGCATCAACACACTGACTCCAGTATGTTATTGGTTGTTGAAAACACTGGAAACAGAACTATTAAAATATAAAAGCATTAATTTCCTGCCAGCTGCTCGTAGTGTGGAACTTTTTCTGGAGAAGGCAACACCGTGAACTTGGGCCTAGCTCCTTTGGGAGGCCAAGCCTTCCATTCTGAGTTGTGTCTTAGATAGACTTAATAACCTGTGCATACGGCAGAGTTTGCACTTATGTGTGTGTGTACTGTGTAAATATAATGTATAGTTAATCATTCACAGAGAATCTGATTTTTGAACAAATAACAATTTCTTGTCACAACTTTTAAGTTAAAGTGTCTGCCCATCTTGTTGGCTACCGAAATCAGTGTTCAATAGTTAATGCACCCCTTTGAATTTTAGGATACCCAGCTGGTGTAAGACACTGATAAAAAAACCAAGAGTTTTGTATGCTTAGTTTTTTACTTTGTGCCCCTTTCCTTCCCCCCTTAGAATATTGAAACCACGTATATGTGGTCGCATACCTTCATTTTCTTAAGCCATCATGGGAATCAATTTTCTTAACTTATGCACAGAATGGCCCTAGGTATATGTAGGCAGTCAACACGCTAGGGGCACTGCTATCCCATTTCTGGACACTCGCAAGCGATCAAGTAGACATCCACTGGACAAAGCATTGGACTGGAAAGCTTTGTCTGTATTGAATATGAATTGGCCTTCAAAGCTGTCCTCGCTGGACATGCAGCGTTTTGATTCGAGTAGGGTGCAACCTGGTGCATATAATAAATACGTTGAGCTCGTGAATAGCAAAAGAGCTCATCTAAGGAACCTGCTGGGAAATTGACGTATAGGGATGAGAAATGAATTTTTTATTTTTTTTTTCCAAATTAAGTGCAAAGTTCAACTTGCAATGTAGGGTAGCTTGTTGAGGTGTTCCTGTCTTCTTATCCCACCATTTGTTCAAAACAAAGTTAAATGTGATTGCGAAATCCATGCGTCAACCCTGAATTTATGCATTGAGATTGTAATGATGGAAAATCAAGAATTTTATTTCAATATTTACAGGTTTCTGTTACCATACAAATTGTTTACGTCTATAGAATTGTTTGCATTTATGCATAGAAAGATTACCCAACTGTGGGCCAACATCTGGAGGTTGCTCAGATGCCTAAGATTTCAAATCAAATTGAAGTGTTATTTATGTGTCCTAGGATATTTTTGACTCTTCTTGTGTATTTGTACTAAAAGTATGTTTTGCCCCAAATGTTCCATCGGCTAATGGCACTTGCACAAAGAAAAGAGAAGTGGGCTGCTGTTTTTTTCTCCACCTCTCTTCAATTCCTGCACACATTGCCACTTGTAAAGCCACCTTGTGTGTGCTTTGAAATCCCCAGGTTTTTTGGTAAATTTTCTGGCTCTCTAGTATGTTGTATATTGCTAGTATCTTGCATTGCTAAAATGTGATTCTGGTTCATAACTGACGCTGGCTGCTCTGCACTGCGTAAACTGTTGCCTCACTGTTGACAATGGAGCTGTAAAATTGACCTTGGATGACCTTGCCAGGTCCACATTTCGGTCAATTTCTGCAGGGATGCAAGTCCAGGTGGAACAGACCTTTATCATGGTGCTACCCTGTTTGTCTTGTTCTTGTAGACCCATTGGCAATATCAATACAACTTTGCATATTGATAAAAGGGAACAGACTATTTCTCCTTCCAGACTCAGTTTGGTTACGTTACTTTGAATGGCTGCCCAATGATAAGGGTCTATAGCCTGATTTCCCCCCCCCTTAAAAAGAGTTGAAGATATCATGGACAGCTTTTCCTGAGTACCTGAAATCTTGGGCAAAAGGTCAGAGCCCACTCACATTGTTACTCGGAAAAGGTGGTCACGTAGAAAGTCGTGTGTTATATGCATATCATAAATATTTATACTTTTAAGCATAAATTAAGTTGTGGGTTGTACATGTCATACATGTACAAAGTGTGGACATCACCTTGTTCTCCTGTGGTTAAGGAAACTTGAGAAAAATGCTCCTTTTTCTCCAACTAGGATAACTCCTTCAAGCTGGATTTTTTATGATGTTTCCCTGGACTGTTCCTCTTCATTTTGCCACAGATAACCTTGACCCCAAAATGCCTCTGAAACTGTTTTTCAGAGAGGGGAAAACATTTTGTGGACGTGTGCGAGTCCACAGAATGCTGTCGCACCCTACATTATGTGGACGTTTTTTGTGCTGAGGTCCACACTATGTATGCCATGCATGCCTGTACACCCAAGTGTACAGTACATATTTTGGGCATCCTGAGCGATCTTAAGTAATGTTGTATATTATGATATGCATATGACACACGTCATTCTACGTAACCCTTTTTTGACTACCCACTCGCATCCCTGTATCTGGTTGAATATCGAAATTGGACCATTGGCCTCCAGCAAGGCATGGGCCCCCTGTTAAAGGTTTTTTTTTTCCACTGGGGTAGTGTACAATAGGCTAAGGTGTCTACTGGGACTATCATAAAGAAACTGAGTCACAGTGTCAGAGGTAAGATCCTTTGCATTGCTCCTATGTCAAATTCTGCAGTTGTAGTTCTTGAATATACTAATTAAACGAAACAAGGAACAAATTTTGTTTTGACAGTTCCATCCAAACCACCCAACAGTACCACTTGAAAGGGCAGGATTAACATAGTTTTCTAGCAGGCTATTCGTGTATTAAAGAGCACCTCTCAGGAAAACATGTTTTCTCCGTTTTTATCTGTTCAATTAAACATGAAAGCATAGAACATATTGTCATTTGTCTTCAGAGCTCAACTATAACAAGCTTAAAGGGCTTTTTCTATTCATGCCAAGATGCAAATTCTGAATGTAGATTGCATCATTTGGAGAAAACAAAGGGAAGTGTTGCCCTTTTTTGGTAGTGGATAAACCCTTGTGCATGCCAAACAATACATGTTGTTAGGCCCACATATTTATTTGAACAGATAAAATCGGAGAATATGTGTTTTCCTTAACTTTATGGCAGCCCCACCCCCCCCAAAAGGTTATTTTACAATTTTGTAATCGCGGCAAATTTATTTGTATCAAAGTCAACACAGAAATGGTCAGTTTATAAATAGACTTTTGGGGCATCCATTTTCACAAACCTAATCGTGCAACATGTCAGAACATGTAATTCCATTTGAGTATGGAATTTGTAAGAAACATGCCTTGGACTTCATTTGTTAAAAATGTAAAGATAATATCCTAATGTATTAACTTTCAAATCCAGACAATGCATTATCTGGCCCAGGGTGTGAAAGTTTGGCCCAAATAACGAGATGTTAATCAGCAAAATTTAACAGGGATCTGGGAATACAGTCAAACCTTGCTATTAATGGCACTATTAAAATATAACCATCTGCTTATAAGGAAAGGAAATGTCAGTCCTTTGTTCTTCATTTTTTTAATTCCTGAAAGTATAAGGCTTCTGTTATAACAAGGTAATAAGCAGAGTCTGAGGGACCCCTTATTGATGAGGTGTGACTGTATTAAAGTTGCCAAAGTTACCCTCTCCTACCTTAACCACCGTTACTGAAACAGCCTGGGTTTTTTTTATATTTATTGCTCTTTTTACAAAAATAGTTGGGTTTATTTACATGTTTGTCACTGTTATGTCCCAAAACAAATGACTGTAAGGTAGCTGGAATGACTATACTTCAAACAATGTACAAGCAATGCTAAAGTGTTGTCAGCTACAGCGTTTGATGTCCAAAAATAAAAGTGCTCCTAGATTTTTGTTACTCTGTATCGAAATGAATTTGTGCCAATAAACGGTATCATTAACAAGATCACACTGGTGGTTTACTTGATGGTTCTTCTTCCTTTCTGTTGCTTGGTTTTAAGGTGTCTACTTAGAGAGCACGTCAGGTTAAATAGACAGGTGATACTACTTGTCAATGTGGCTTATGATCCCACCAAAAGATCTACAGTGCCAGTTCTGAGATGGCAGCAGTGTTTGGATTGATACACTGATGCACAGGGGCATCGCGAGCTTGTCCTGACACGCCTGCAGTCAAAATCTTATGATTACTGATTCAGATTTGGGATTGCAATGACTGCCCGCACTGTAGTGGTTTCCGCTTGTGCACAAGTAAAGATACTATTGCAAGTTTGCTTTGCACTTGTCATATGCTGATATTGGCCACTGCTGTACTTTGTCAAATGATGCTGCAGCTTTTTTTGCCATGCACTTGATGTATGACACGTGGCCATTTGACGAGCATTTGTCATATGACACTTCCCATTTGATCTGCCTTTTTGTCATACATTCGTCATATGACGCTACTGCATGTTTGCCATGCACATGTCATATGACACTTTTGCTCAGTATCTCTATGGCCATCTCCTCATTGCCACTTTGCCTGTAGATCAGTGACAAATTGAAGGCTAGCTCACAGCGGAGGTCAAATCTTGGGTCATCACTAGATTGTGGTAGATCCAGGCCTTTATGGTAGTAGTGGAGAGCCATATGAAGCAAACCTGCAGTTGTGGAAAACATGGGAAAGTTTCAATACTTTGTTGCAAAAACTGGTTCATGATCTAAAATTCCCATATAAGCTTTTCCACCACAATTTAAAGATATAAACCGGGAAGAAATGTACACATTTCATCCCTGTAAAAGCGTCAAAGTGACAATTTAATCAATATTTTCTGGCATACAGAATACAGCATTTTTGGCATTTTAAAGATCACTTCAATTTTTCAAACTGAGAAAAGTACAGCCTAAAAGGAACTGTTGGAGAAATGACATTCCTAAAAAACATGTACACAAAGTGTTATGAAGGGTGCAATTCTGTAGAATCTTCAGTTAAGAAAACCTGGCCGAGTACACCTGACGTTGCCTAACAACGTACCTACTTCGTGAAGAGCTCGGCCGATATTGTAACATGTCTCCTGACTTACACCTCTGTACTCCTCATATCTCTTAAGAAATGCAAAAGCCTAGCCAGGGGAAAATATTGAAAACATTGTGAGGTTCTGTGCTAAGATCCTTCCTTGTGGAAACATATATCACAAGGCTCACCAGAAGGGATGACCACAAAATACTCAACCAGTAGGTTTGCCAGCTTTGCCATTCAACCATGGCATATGGTAATGGATATTTGTGGGATTAGATACCATCCATGGTGTTCTGACTCAATCATGGCCACAATATCTGACGTGCATAGATGTCCAACATGCATATGTAACTACACTACTCAAAAAAGTTAAGGACCACTTTTTTATTTTGTGTATGAGATATTTTACGGCCGAAAATGTGCATCTGACGTTTTGAAACATTTAAAAAAAAATTTATTCCAATAAGAACACCATCCAGACAAACAAAAAATGAAAGAACTACACCCCACTCATTGGTTGGAAAAAAATACAAGTTAAGTAAAAAGTGGTCCTTAACTTTTTTTTTTGAGTATGATACGGTTGGAACATGAACTGCTGTCTTGGCGAGGGGCAGATACAGTTGCCCAAATGTACAGCAGTGATTATAACTTTATGATTATAACTGTAAGGTGAGAGCGGTACATTTATGACTTCCACTGTTTTCATGACTATAAAGCCTGCCCACCCACCTGCACAATCAGCGAGTGTCTCTTGGTGGTGTACTTCTGGCAAGCAATGTGGCAGATGGAGATACCAATCATGAAGGTCAGGAAGGGGTCATCAGGCTTCTGACGGAAGCCCCTGGTGTACTCCCCGATGGCATTCTTGAAAGTACCACTAACCATAGCATTGTGACCATTCAGGATGCAGAGGGCAAAGTTGTTGTGTAGTTTCTGGATGAAAAAAAAAATTCTTAAGAAACGGTTTCTGAGAAAGAAAGTGACTAGATTAATACAGAGCCTGTTTCCGAAATCTTTTGATCCTCAGTATTTTTTCTGGGGCAGAAAATGATTCCCTGTTTTGACTGTATAGTTCAGTTGAACTTAACTCTGTAGCAGTAGCAGCACAGCTTTTGTTTTATTCATTCAGGTTTGGCAGCCAAATCACTTGGCAGAAAAAAAATGGTTGGGAATTTCAACTCACATCCACAATGTAAAACTTGACAATTTTTTTAAATTTCTTTGGCACTGAATAGTTGAATGGCCGTTTCCGACAATAAAAATTGTATCAGCCTCATCCAGATTACCACAAAAATGCAGACCACATTTCTAATGCGGCTCTGGACTATGGGGTTGTTTTTCCTTTTTGGTACTTCACGTACTTTGAGCGTAGTTCGGAGGCAGAACTTGTGGTGTCGTGTGTCGTTGGTTAGGTTGGTGACAAAGCTGAAGAGATTCCAGGCAGCAGTACTGTTAGGGTGCTGGAACAAAAACCAAACGGAGAGATGGAGTGGTAATGTAGATGAAAAAATCACAAGGCTAGACTGAAGACCAGTCAAAAGTAACAGGGTGATTAATGACAAAGAAATGCTTTTGCTACCATGCATTTGAAGAACCTGTGATTTCAATTCAGAGTGGAAGTCTTGTGTTGGTCTCGTGGGGTCTTTTGATTATCTGAAGAGGTCTTAACTACATTCCGCACACCAGATCATGCGCAGGAAGAACAGTGACCACGAATCAACCATTGTTTGCAGTTGAAATAGACAGCTTGTGACTTGGATTCAGGTTTGAGGTCTTGTGAGGTCTTGTGTCGGTCTTATGGACAATGTTCACCACTTGAAAATACATATGTAGAAATACCAAAACCAACAGACAAGACGTTAAGTCATCCTTGAGAAAAACATAGCTAAACAAATTGCCAGCTGGCACTTATGCTATCAAATACAGTTGTAACTTTGTGTGGAGATGTTCCTGGCGGCTTACTTTAGACACAATATGCCGCATGTCCTCATAGACTTTTCGGTAGTTGGAGTTCAGGAAACTGACACAGATGCCCATGACTTCAACATCCTGCGGATGGAAAGAAGGCAAACATCTGTCACTAACCTCGACTTCCAGGCTTACACACTCTTCTTAATCCATACCAATTTATGGGGGCAGATTTACTGAAATAAAGGGCAACCTAGACTGCTAATTTATATTCTGCCTACTGGATTATGTCAGACATATTATTGTTGAAATCACAGATTTTAGAGCTCTCCAAGCTCCAAATAGGATGCTAAAATCACAAATGTGTTTCTCGCAAAGATGGACTTTGCCCATGTGCATGTATGTTGTTGCCGCTGAGCAAAACTTACTCCCCTACTCCTTACATTCCCCAAACCTCCTTCCCAAAGCTTCCTCAGAAACTAGTACGAAAAAGAAAGGAAATAATATATTCATGTTTTTCTAGAAAACACCCCAAATTAATGCCGAGTCTAAAAATATAAACAATGCATAAGTACAACTTTTCCTTTATCCCGCCCCAAAGATTTTCCGTCTTCGACTTTTCCCATCCTACCAATCGTTGTGCAGGGTCTCTGGTGAATCTCTTGGACGTCAGGACCGTGTTGGAGAAATTCTCTGCAATCTCTCTCTGGCCCAACTTGATGAGGGCATCCAGTGTTTTGCAGTACAAAGAGAACCAGTTGGCATGGCTGATGACACCAAGATTACCCTTAAGTTGCTTCAGCACTACAAAAAAAGAAATATTTCCATCTGTTTGAAGTTTTCTTTTCTCTCCACTCCACCTGACACATTTGTGACTCAATCCCGAAAAGTGAGTCTGAAGTCATGTGAGTCTTACAACCAGTCTTAATACCACAAAGTGAAGGTTCGAATGCTGTTCCAGTCATTCTTCTCTAAACTACCATATTGGGTCTTTGTTCCGCTCATGTGACTGAGGATTCTCAGACAGTCTAGGAGCCATGTGTGTCTGTCTCATTTTACCGTTTCTGTCTGGAGCTTGGTTGAGGTAGGCATTCAGCAATAGAAGGCTGTCTTGAGTGAATTCCTTGAGCAGACCCTTGGAGTACCTCAACATGGACCGTTGCCAGATGAGCTGTGCATCTGCGGCAGCCTCATCCTCACTGTCTAAATAAAAAATAGACAGAAACCACCCTAACCTCTTTTCAACTGAAGGAGAAGTGACAGAAATTGTAAGTCATTCCCATTTGGTTTCATACTCAGGGCCAAAGTCGGTATTACATTTTTTTTTACAACCCATACTGCTGGCCTTACAGATTTTTTAAAACAAGTGTCCCTATAAACACTGTATATTTCTGATATGGGGAGTGCTTGTTAGTTGCTCGCAAAGGTAGAATCTTTTGTCCCTGTTATGCACTGTTGTAGTCGAGACCATCACAAGACCACATACAAGACCAAGCTCAAGACCAATCACAAGTATTAGACTGAGAGTGAAAAATGACAAAGGAATGTTTTTGCTGCAGTTCATTTGAATAGCTTGTGACTTGAATTCAGACAGGAGGTCTTGTGTGGTCTTGTGAAGGTCTTAAGTGGTCTCAACTATAATATTGCTGTCATGTAGTATCTACAACTCAAGCAGTGCCTTTCTTGCCAGAAACTCAAATAGGAAGAGAAACCAACGACTGAGATGCAGACAAAACACTGAGGAGTCTTCTGGACCATGATTCTGTTTAAATTGGGCAGGCAGGTGTAAAGGGTCCAGTGGTGGGCATCAGAAACCAAACACACATTCAAAGCCATGGGTCAAAATGAATTCACAGTTTAGGATGTGAAAGTATGTAATACGGTAAGAATGCAGCTGTATCTTGAAAAAGATTTCTTTTGTGAGCTAGAGTGGATGTAAATAGAACAAGGGGACTGTAGGTTTTGGGCAGTTGTCCGTAGTCAGACAACACAGAATCCTCAAGCTGAATAGTACTTTTTGACAGCAGAGTGTGAGGATATTTTGTCTACCCATGGAGAGGAGCTCCAGAGCTATGTCTGAGTTTCCCTGTTGCTGCTCAATGGTAGACAGGGCCATTCGGGCATCCAGATGGCCGGGGGCTTTCTGGAGCACCTGACGATAGGCCATCGCTGACTCCTCCAACTTCCCCAAGGATGTCAGACTCTCGGCATAACGGAGCCACACGGCAGGCTAGTAAGGGAAAGATGTGTGCTCTCAATACTAACACTGGAAAGTTACCAACATGATGAATCCCACTTCTGACACCAAAATCTGACTCCTCACCTTCAACATCGATGACCCACGTCAGCATCTCACCTAGGCATTTTTTTTCAAAATATTTCTCTCGAATTCTGTTCACTTCTTAAGATAAATAGTTCTTCCTCCTCCGAATGTAAACTATAGTTTTCAATCACTTTATTACCTAACACTATTATTCTTAGTAATTCACAGGTATGTAAACTAGATAGGTTCGCGGTAGCACCATGGATACATCTCTATTTTGAGCATTTGGGGTTCTGCAAAGAACCGGTGGTACTCAACGTTTTGGACAGTATGCTCTTTCCATCGTCAGGAGACTTTCTCCATGGTGCTACCGCAAACCTATCTAGTTTACTTGCTACCTCCACCATAAAAAGCTTCAAATCTCAATCCACAGGTATGTTAAACAAATGTCAAACATACACTACATGTGTTACGTGATAAAAGCAGACAATACACCTGGGTAAGACAGAAATGTCCTGGAATAAACTAAGTTTAAATGCAAAATATGTATTGAAAGGAAAATGAGCTTACCAAATTGTAATTTTTGGTTTCAACTAGTGCTTGCAGTAATGGCACAGACTCGTCATAGCAACCTGAGCATTGCAAGGTGAAGAAAAATTACCCAAATTTCCAAACATGAAAAGACACAGCTTTTTGTTTGAAACAAAAGTTCTGTGTAACAGAATTGAAGTGGACCAGGGCCAACCCTACAACTGGAACATCTGCACTTACAGTAAACATGTTTCTCGTCAGCAAGGAATTTTTGCTCATGATCAGGAAATGCATCTTGAAACGAAGGATTCTGTAATGATGGGGCTAGCACAAAATTTCTGTGCTGGAGCTCCAAGCACAAAATGGTGATAATAGGCACACAATTCCATGATGAACACAGACACAAAATTTGGCCCAGGATTTCAGACTGGGAGTGTGTGAGGGACTCGGCACTGTACTTGAAACGTGTTATCGACAATGAAAAGCTCTGTGGCTCATGAATATGTTGAATTAATAGTCAGTGAGACATACCCAGGTCAACATAGGCCTCGGCGACATCCAGGTAAAGATCCCCTATGTCGTTGGGGTCCTTTGTATACAACAAGGAAAGCACTTCCTGTAAGAGATAATAATCAGATGGATTTTAACCTCAAAAGCAGTTACACAGCATCTTGTTGGGTTGGGCGTGGTCAAAGTCAAGTACATCATTTGCAACCACTTCTGCAAAGAAACTTTGCTGGAGCTGAGAGTGGACCCATTTTATCTATAAATAGCCTATTTGAGTTATTGCAGAAACTATAGGAGGGTGCCATTTGGTTTTGGTAAATCAAGTCAGTTTACTCCAAAGTTACCCTTTCCAAATAGTGCCCTCCTGTTGTGCCCACCATGCTTCAAAAAGGCTAATGCCATGCCATCACTTAGAAAACAACCCCAATAATTCTGCAAAGACTGTGGGAACCAAAATCCCATGTATCTGGCCAGGGTCAACAACCTTGTTTTGGCTGGTAACCCACCTTTGCTGATAGGAATTGCCTGCAGTGAATCAAGGACACTCCTAGTTTGGCCTGAAGGTCAATCGGTAGTCCCTCTGGGACTTCAACTTCCATTGTGTCTTGCCTAAGTAAATATGAGCAAAAAAGACAGGAGGTGAGTTTGTTTTGGGACTTCCAGCAGAAAAGTTCACAGTAATCCTCAGTCACATTAAATATCATATCCCAGCGGGAACATGAGATGGTGGGTTTTTTTACAAAGCGACGACAGTCCCTTGGTGGAAACCTACCACGTGTGCTTTGGCATGGGATGTACTGAGCAAACTCGACCCATTTCTGTTAAAATGTAGGGGCTTGCCGCTTAAGCTGGGTGCATGTTTTGGCCTGATTGGAGAATTGTCCACGACCCTGTGTTTTCGTTGCTGGTAAGGGGATACTTCAAGTTGGGGCCAATACTTCCAGCTAGATCCACACGGAGACACTCTGCCTATTCCCAGCTTGAATGCATTCCGTTCCCCAAAGTGGAGCATCCCCAAAAAAACAGGAATGACTCCCAAGTCTTCGGATATATTTCCTCACCTTGTTTCTCGGTCAGCCAGCGAGAGTTGCTCCAGATCCAGGTGGTCACAGCTGCTCTGAGATCGCAGAACCACTGCGCAGTGGTCCGAGATTACCTGCAGAGCTCGTTGGTACTGACGACTGGCGATGTGCAGCTCAGCCAGCATATTCACATCTGCAGCAAAAGTACACGCAACAAATTAGCAGTCTAAAGGCCGGCTCAAATTTGGAACCATTGCGAGCATGCATGTGATTCTGCGACATCAGATCAAATATTCGCACTGCGAGTTGCAAAAGTTGAACCCATTTCTACTTAAGTGAAATTCGCTGCAAAGATTTCAGGGCATCAAATCCACTTGGTTTTTGCATACGCCTGAACCTAAAGTATGAACAGGCCTTGAGGGTTATGCAAAAGAAGAGATGGAACACGAAGAAAGTAGAACTGGAGCACTGCTGTCAGGACGGGAAATATTCTGAAAAAGGAAGGTAAAAGAGCACCTTTTCTGTCGGGCAACCATAGTGAAATACATGTACACTCCTCTCCCATGATATATGAAGTCTATTTGTGCACATTCAGGTGAAAGTCAGTCATCACACAAAGCCTGTGCTGTGTCTATTTACTCAGTGAACATATCCAGGTTGGAAAGCTCACCTGATGAGAAAATCTCAGACCCATGTTTTTATGTTTTATCTCTTTATGATGACCTTGCGGGAGCACATTTTGGCCTTGAACAATGCCCAATTACCATGGCTGCACAGCCAAACCTTGAGAAGTACTGTAGTTCGGCGGAGTCACTTAAACAAAATGGACGTTTCTTATACAAATAAAAGTCAGTTTCCTACCCTCTGAACTGATCAACTTTGGATGCTTGGAAAATGCAGTATTCATGATGTCCACTGCTGATGCAATGTCTCCGTTCTGGTGGTGAGCCTGAAAGTACAGACAAGAACCAAGAACCACTGTGCCATCCACAACTTTTGGAAAGTGTTCAACAACGCAATCTACTGAGCATTTTAAACAGGGGACCAGGTGCTGGACTAGGTTGTCCAGGATTAGTTTTTGCATACTACTTTCATTGTTTTGGAGGGACTGGAAGGTTAATCAGCTTGTGAGCCAGTTCGTCCTCTGCAAAGTAGTCTTTTTACCCAAAGTAGTCTTCTTACCCAAAGTAGTCTTCTTACCCAAAGTAGTCTTCTTACCCAAAGTAGTCTTCTTCTTACGTAGTCTTCTTACCCAAAGTAGTCTTCTTACCCAAAGTAGTCTTCTTCTTACGTAGTCTTCTTACCCAAAGTAGTCTTCTTACCCAAA